CAGTAAAAATGAAAATTGTAAAAACATTATAATATTAAAACACTATGTTAAAGAAAAGAAGTCGACTGTACAAAGCCATTAACATGCATAAAATTTCAAGGTATAAAATTATTTGCGGATAAAAGATAGGATAAAGATGTAAAAAGACAAAATTGATAAAATAACAAGAATAGATAAAATATACCCTAAGATTAAAATCATTAAAGTATATTTGTCCAAAAGGGACGTGAATGTTATAAAATTCATTTAAAATTTAAAAATGTTTGCAAATTAATATTCAAAAGCGTGTTTTGACAAATACCAAAAAAAGTGATATACAAAATCAAAGGTAAAAGCTAATTGTGTATAAAAATTAAAATAAAAATCATTTAAAAGTTAAATAATTAACAGTTAAAATCAATATCATACCAGTGTAAAACAACCAGCTGAGCAACATTTAAAAAGTGTTGAGTAAAATGGAAAGCGATGTTTAAAACATAAAAAATGTAAATACAAGGTCTAAAATTTAAAATATGATATGCTAAAAGTTTGAAATTTAAAATACTGTGAGTAAAATTATTAAATAAAGTGGTCCAAGGAGTATTTAACTATGTTTGTTGGGGGGTGCAAATTAGTTGTTAATTTGGGATAGCATCTCCTCGAGAGTAATTTTAATGATCTCTTTAATAATGGATTCGCATGTATTACTCGCGAAAATTTGTTGTTCATTTCTCCCGAGGAAGTGGTTTTGGCTGAGTGTCTTATGTTAACAAAAATATCTAATTTTTATTGGTGCTCCTAACATTATTCTATTGATATATTTTACTTTGGTGATATTACTTCAAAATATCAGATAGTAATTAATTTTGCCGATATAATCGTGTGAGATGAAAAAGAGGTAAATTTTTATTTTGAAAAATTTTAAGACAAAGCGAATCCCTTCATTATGGATTTGTCCGGCCGTTGAGATTAGTACCGTCTACAAGGACTTTGCAAGCTCGTTTGCATGCCACGAGCAACATGCTATCAACATCCTCCTCCTTTAACGACATATATTCGATGCGACGATTTAGATAATAATTGAAATTACCAATGGATCGTTTGGTGCTATGAATGGCAGGTGTGGAATTGTAGATAATAATTAGAATTACATTTCAAAATTAAGATTAACAAAATTTTCTTAGCTTTTCTGGTATAAATTTTTGATTAAAATTTTTGCCTTGGCGAAATAAAAAACCTTACTAAAAGCTGGAAAAGCAGTAAATTCTTCTCTAGTGCTTTTCTTTAAAATTACTGTATCTCTAAAAGCTGAAAGCGATCCATCAAGAAAATAACAACTGCATTTCCTTTTCAGAAGTAAACGCAGGAGGGAGGCTAGTAGAAACAGGGAAGAATGTCGCAGGTAAGAATACAATTTTTTTTGACTATAACATAATATATACCAAATGTTACCTTATGGAGAAGATTTTTCTTAGTAATTGTTAAAAAAGATTTATTTAGAAAAGATTTCTTAAAGGATTTATTAGATTTATTTAGATAAGATTTATTAAGATTTAAAAACTTCCAAAGATTTATTTAGATTCGTTTATTAGCACCTAAAAATAGGATTATCACAATATAATAGAATTATCTTAATTTTCAAATGTTTACATTATTTATGTTGTGTTGAATACAATTATTTTACTTGACAAGAACTAAATCAGGTATCAAAGATAAATGGAAGTAGTTCACTATCACCTAAAAAAAGGGTTAAAACCTATGCATATTATTTAAGAGCAAGTTAATAAAACATGATAAAAATAAGAGGAAATAATATTTATTATTGCTAATTATTTAAATATTTATTTTTAATTATTTAATAAAGCTAATTATTTAAATAATTATTTACTTTGGTAGATATTTCATAGCTGCTAACTTTTATGGTTCTTAAGGAGCATTTTACTAAGTAGTAGAATAATCATACAGAAGATATTGAAAAGGTCGAGAATTACTTCACCAAAACTTAAAAGCATTGTTTTATAACTTATGTATTTTATATGCGTATAATTTGAATCCTTGACTTGTCATGGGTAGTAAAATAATTAAACTTTTAAAATAAGATTTATATGTTAAACATAAATGTCCAACGAGTAAAAAGATTTTTTAACAATAGCAGTACAGGTTTGCCCCTAGCCATGGACGGTGCCCCTAGCCATGTCCATGGCAACTCCCCTAGCCATAGGGGAGTTGCCATGGACAGAGGGAGCTGGAGAAGGCGTGCTGTTGAGGCAGCCAAGGCCTGCAAAGGGCTGTTGCGCTCCTGAAGAAGAAGACTACAGTCACTATTAGCATCTGAAAAAAACTGAGAAACTGGTAGTAAAATTTCCAAAACATTCTTCGAAAAATCACTCCCTTACTTTTCCAATAATAGCGAGAATAATTTTCTCTTTGAATTTTTCTTATTTTACTTAAGGTAAATAATATATATATATATCCTCTGATATTTTGAGCGAGTGAAAATATCAAAATATGACAAAATTAAGCTCCATTTTATGTAGCCAGCAAATGAATAACAATTTTTGGTTCAACACGCCTCGGAATTTCTAAATGTGCAGATTTAAGTTTTTTTGCTTTCAGGTAATGAATAATTTTTAATTAGCATTAAAAGTATAAAATGAAGTGGGTGTTAACAGAAAGAAGCATCTTTACTTAAACCTAATTCTTTTCTTCGATTTTGTAAACGCGCACCTGACGTCCTTACAATCTTTAAGAAAGTAATTAAGAGAAGGCTGAGTTTAGGTTAAGTTAGGGTTAGGTTAGGTTTATGGTTTCGGTTCAATATGAATAAAAGTCGCCCCCACCCTTATCCAACAGTCGACTAAAACTGGAATTTATTTAAGATGGCAGTCGTAGGGGACTCAACTGTCCGATTAACTCAACTGTCAGATATCCATATTAGATCCATCTTAAAATACTTAAAAAAATATTTTCATTGAGTTATTTGCTTATTAAAAAAATATTATCCTCATTGAGTTATTTGCTTTTGTCCCCGAAACTGGCCTTTCGAACATTAACTGGTACAGCGTTTAGCGACGAGACTATTTTTTTTTAATCATTTCCAATAGTGTAATCGCATTTTTTCTTTACCCCAAAACTAGACTGAAAGTTTAATAAGCAGGCGTCATCCGGTCTATGTCTTCAAAGGAGTATAGACGAGGCTTAAAAATGTTCAATTCTTCCATGAAAAGGGAACGTTGTTAGCTCTTTCTTCTTCAAAAAGACGTTTAATCAGTTATATAATTTAACTTAGAGTCGCTATGGCTCGTGGAATAGAACTTTCTCCTTTTAAAGAAGGGATTCTCCCAACCATAATTAATTGATTTGAACTCTGTTCCAAATTCATACCGACCGCACTGATGTCGCAAAATATCCTATAAGGTAAATAGATCATAGTTTAGAATTTTCTGACCGTTCATAAAGTAACTCAAATTCTGTTTAGTCCCGTTAAAAAGTCATCCACGAAAGCTAGTTTGCCCTAATGTGGATTCAGAAGTTTTCTTATCTTCTGGATTCAATTCAAAATGAAAAGGCTACGGAGTTGAACATTAATGGCTGTAAGCCCAAAAATGTGTCGGAGCTCAACACTGTTTATAAAATAAAAGATAAAACGAAAGCTAGTTTGCCCTAATGTGGATTGAGAAGTTTTCTTGTCTTCTGAATTCAATTCAAAATTAAAAGGCTACGGAGTTGAACATTAATGGCCGTAAGCCCAAAAATGTGTCGGAGCTCAACACTGTTTATGAAATAAAAGATAAATTAAAATGATTAAAAATGCGATGTTAAGTATAGAAATTTCTTTGCGCATTAAACGTTAATACAATACCACTCTCGTAAAGTTTTAGGAAAAAAATCTGGTAAGCAATGAGAATACCCTGCACAGTCTGAAAGTTTTGAATTACCATTTATCATTTACTTAATTATGGAACATAGATCTAGCCTTAGTTATGAAACCAGATTTCTTCCAACTTATGTGTTGTAGAAATATTTTTCTTGAGATTTTGATTCAATATTTTACTATTTTCCGTATCAAAGTAGCACTCCTTAAATTTTCATTTGCAGCTACTTTTAATGCTATATGCAATAAAATATACGTAAGGAAAAATAATTTACATCAAAAATTTTCTTTTTTGCAGATATGGAAGAAACTTTTGATGAATAAATATATATGACCCTGCATTTCAAGGAAATGATCAAAATCTAAACAATGAAACAAGTTTAGTTTTGTAAGAAATGAAATAAATATTTCTGTGTGCATTTATATTTGTCTTTCTTCACTCATAACTTCGATTAAATTTTTCAATTTGCAGCAAATGTGAGTTGAGCAGCAGCGTGTGTGAGTTGGTCTGGTTATTAAGTGAATTTAAAAGAGAACAGTGTTAAATGCCAAGTGTATTTCTTTAGTTGATTAACGGATGCTGACTATTTAGTTTCAGACGAGGATTTTTAATAGAACTAAATGCATCAAAATATGAGAAGATTAAAATAGAAAAAGAAAATAATTAAGTTTCGTGAGACTTATCTAAAAGTTTAGTTGTATAGTTTCTCTAAATAGTTTCGACAAAAATGATAATTTTTTTAGACATATTCGCGTCTTGACCTTTAATGGATAATATATAAAATTTTAGCTATAGTTTTTGATAACGCATGGTCCTTCATAAGGAAAACGTAAAGCTGGTTTAATTTTGTCGATGTGAACAAATATGTAACACCAATTTTCCAAATCTTTATGAATAAATATTGCACGTTGTGATTGATTGGACCGATTGTATTTACTTTAGTTTTTCTATGAACTTTTTAAAGTTCGAATTAAATTCTGATGTATGTTGTTGTTCTTGCTGCGCAATAAATTGTCTGGGAAGTGATGTTCTATATACAAGTTTTGCTACAGTGGAATTTATATCTTCCTTCAAAGTTGACCGAATTCTTAAAAGTATTGAAAGTAGAAATCCTGTCTAGCGTACAGGCTTTTAAAGTTCTGCGAAGATTTTTAATCAATCCTTTTGGTGATAAAGTGTAGTATTTTGAAATCTTAAGTGTTTAGACATGTACTACGAATGTTTCACAAGTAAGTATTAATAGACATTTAAAAGTTTTAAAGGATGATGTGTCAAATAGTGGATGTCTTTTCTTTTCTCCGAAATCGAGGAAATTTAAATTTATTGAAAAAAAAAATTATTGTTTTCCTCTTCTTCTTCGATTTACAAGTTTTATAGAATCTACTCAATACGAAACTGCATAGAGTTAGGAACTGCATAGAACACTGAAACCCCAAAAGATAAATTTTTTTCGTCGTCCATTAAGCCATCACAATTATTAGCGATCGACCGTCCCCTTTGCGAACATAAAAAATTGACGGTGTTAAAAAATAAAAAAAGAAGTGTGCGGTCTTTTTGTGACATTCCAGCTGTCGAGTTTGAATGGCAAAAACAAATTCTACTTTGAAATATCTTTATTGACATCATAAGGAATGTGTTTTTTACAGCAATACTTTTATCGTTAATCATCATAAAGTACATTCAAATACGTTATTTGAACATCTCATACATAAACTATAATTTATATTATAAATATGTTTCACTCGCTACATTCCATACACAAACATTATTTCAGTTCATATTTCATCACACGAGTCCTTTTACTCTTTAACGATATGGATGAGTTCAAATTTTGTATATCGTATTCGTACTGTCCGTACCGTAGTATATATTTTTTAAATTATTGTCAAGAGTAAAAGAAGTGTGTAATTAGGGATCCATTAAATAATATTTCAACGAGAACATCATGAAAATCTGAAGAAACATGATTGAGGAAGATAAAATTAAAATAATAAAAACTGATTTGATTGCCGACAAAAACTTTATGGTGTTCTTCTTTCTTCTTTAATGCACCAGTCATTTATTTGCAAAGCTAGTTAAGAAACTTCAAAATTTTAAATAAATACAAATGAAAATAATTATTAAATAAATACAATAAATAATTTTTAATATATTTTAAATAAATACAAATTTGACTCAGGCTTAACTGACAAACTCTTTTAGAAACAATAACGTTTTTACGGTAAAAATGACCTCTGTGGGGAAAGTTCTTTCAGTTAAATAAATTTTTTTATTTTTTTATTTTTAATTAAGATGTAATTTAAAAGTATAAAAGTTATTGCATATAACTACAGTTAAAGTAATTATTTTCACTTTAAATGAGCAAATCTAAAAAAGGTATAACTATGTTTACAATTGAACAACTCATTTACAATTAAATTAATACTACACAAAATTAGATTAAAATGAGTTCTTAAAATTTCGGTGAAGATTTACAAACAGGATTAAAAATAATAGCTTAATAATAAAACGAATAAAGAGTGATGGAAAAGATAAATGGGATTATTTTCATAACATTTATGATTCACCCTTGAAAATCATGAACTAACCCTAGTAATGAAATCATCTACGTCCTTACTGTTACCCATAATATGGTAATTTTCATTATCCATGGTATGGTAATTTTAGCATGTGTTGTACTGAACATTTTAATAACAAATTCACGGTGCTGTGTCAATTCGTTGTGGGACAATTCATTGCGCATAATTCGTCAGGGCGGCAGTTCGTTGGTGACTCAATTTAATCTTTTGCCCTAAAAATTATAAGGAATTATTTTCTATAGTTCCTTGGAATGAAAGAGAAAGAACAACAGTTTTGACCAACCTTCAGCTAGTGGGAAAAAAGTACCTCCAATCGTAGTTTTTCCTTTCTGAAGAATTCCTTGAGGTGCTACAGAATAAATAATTAAAATTTAAATCAATGTACTTCCGGTGTACAATAGCCAGTATGAAGCAAATTTGGTTAATATATTGCTTGAAGCTAATTAAGTCGATAGGACTAGATGAGTGACAGAAGAATCGGAATATTTAAATACAGTTGTGGCATGCATTCAAATCGGTTATCATTAAAGTTCATATGTTGCACTAGATAATTTTGAAAAGTGACTAAGCTGGCCCATAACTGGTCAGTGATTAAATGATGTTATTCTATTATTTTTTTGTTGTTGTTAGGCTTCAAGTGTTTGTTATAATTGCTTCAAACCGCAACGAGTTATGCCTTCTCCCCTCTTTCTCATACGTAGACAATTCTTCCCTATGTTAGATAATCCTTCTAAAAATTGCTTTAAGGAACACACACACACTCAATGATTGTCAATATTGCGTAAAATTATTTCATAAGAGCTTCAAATTTTTATTTACTCTTTATTATGAACCACATATATCTATTCTACTGGCAAATAAAGCAAATACAATCAGGCTTATATAATATATTTTATGAATCATACATGAGATATAAAACTTAATTAATATGGGCCTATACTTCACTTTGATTAAGAAAACCAATATTATTCGACTGAAATTCAAAGCCATTTTGATCCAGATGAAAATCAAGAATAATTTTGTACTATCACCAGTATTGTTTAAACAGCTGAAAATCTTTAAATCCTTCATCATGTAATGAATAGCAAGAAATTAATTAAGTATCTATTAACGTTCTATTGTTCACAGCAAATATTTTGCTAAGCACTCCATGACCTTATCATACTTCATATCAAAATCACTCCATATTTTACATTCTAACTTGCAGTCCAAAAATCTCCCTTTTCGAGAAGGATCATGATTTGAAGATTATGGAATAAGATTAAGATGTCTCGCTTCATTAAAAGGGAATAATGTATAAGCTTAAAACGTGAAATTCATATTAAGTTTCGTTGCATGAGTTTTGTGCGAGGGCGTTTCGAAAAGTAAAGATACAATGGATCGCATTCCTTAAAAAAAACTTTTATTTAGAAAACGTCAGTTACATCTTATTGACTCGATTATTTATTATTTTTCAACATAATCACCCCCGTTATCCAAACATTTGTTAAGTCGGTGCGCAAGCTTTTGTATCCCACAGTCATAGAAGGTTGCCGCTTGTTGTCGGAACCACATTTCAACTTCATCTTTGATCTCATCATTGTCGTGGAATGATTTTCCACGAAGGTGTGACATCAGGTAAAGGAATAAATGAAAGTCGTTGGGCGCAAGGTCCGGGCTGTATGGCGGATGGTCCAATACTTGCCATTTGAATTGTTTGAGTTAGTGCTTTGGTTACGAGCGCTGTGTGAGGTCGAGCGTTGTCATGAAGCAAGCGGACTCCATTTGTCTATTCATAACGTTCCCATAAACAGAAACAATTTCTTTGTGAATATCCGCTGGTCTCTGACCTTTTGCATGAAGAAAACGTATGACGTAGCGCACTTCGCATTTGGCGGGAATCTGAATCGCCGCAACCATTTTAAACACGACCTACTCCAATCAGAATCAACGTTGAAATGCTGAACGACCGCGAGGAGAAAGCTAACGGTTCAAGGTTGAAATGCTGAATTACTATGCTATACCTGTGTTGCCAACTTGCTCGCCAAAACTTTTCTTTTCCTCTGGCGTACGGTGTATCTTTACTTTTCGAAACACCCTCGTATATAAATGACTCAAAAATAAATCAAGACAAGCAAATCTTTCAAAATGAATTTCAGTTTCTTTAAAGTTGTTCTTACCACTGGAATGTTTCTTCTCTTTTTACTTTCTGGTAAGTATAAAGAAATTATAATTAAACCTCCGTAACTAGATAATTTCATTTAAAAATCAAAACATTAAATATTTATAAAACTGATTTTCGGTGAGTTGTATGACTAAACCGATTTTATAGAACGACTTGTGTAACACGAAGCCAGTAGAAAGCATATCACAAGTATAAATTTACGATTACATATAATCCAGTGACGCAGGAGTCAACGGCCATCCATTGAGACGCATAAGGCTTAACTAAGTATTATGAACTATTTTTAAATACACTGGACAAATAATTTGGATGAATGACCTTTGATACTGGATTAGTAAAAAAATCATTTTTGTATACTTTAATATAAAATTTTATTTTTTTAATATAGTGCGATTAACTGTGCCTAGAGCGATTAACTGTTTTGAATTTTTATTATTAAAAGAGATCTTCTTATAAGTATGGATAGGAGCTCTGACCTATAAATGGACACCTCCGATGAGTGTAGTGCTCCGGTTAATGTAGTAATAATTGTAAATTTTACTTTTGTGAAATATTATATTATTGAAGCATGTAGATGTAGGTCCTGAATTATAAAAAGTCACCTTATGAAGGGAAGAAAATTGGGGAAATGGTTTCTTTCTTGAATGTCTGTTTTACGATTCTTACTTGAAATTT